GTTAGTGACCTTGACTATGACTGGGTGTAATTTATCTATAAAATATGTATGTATTTAGAAATAGGCAGTGATGTGCCGAGTCGCTGTTTTGGTGGATCGAATCGACTCGAGTCGGTTTATACGGAATTCGAATCATGACTCGATTCCGCGATTCGAGCCCAGTACTCGAGTTCTATGTTTGGTATTCGAATGTTAACTCTAGTTCAGGACTCGAGTTTAAGACTCGAGTCTAAAAATTCGAGTCCAGAACTCTAGTCTGGAAATTCGACCTAGAACTTGAGTCTAGAAATTCGGGTCCAGAACTCTTCTCCCCTGGGATAGGGCCTGATTAGGCATGGTGTCAATTCGGGGAGGACCTGAAATAACATGGTCCGGGTCCTCCCCAGAGTAGGACACCTGAGGCCGGCCGTCGGGGTGGTTTTTAGTGGAATCACCACATAGTCCCCGAGGAGTAGGAGATCCCAAGGGATTTTTCACCCCAACAACAAAAAAAAAGGCGTTACATCATTCCTTATGTAAACAGATATCGAGTACGAGCGAGTCAACCTAACTCGTATGCTAGATTCGAGTCACATGGAATCGCTAAACAGAATCGAGTTAGCGAGTACAAATTCGATTCTTCCTGACTCGAGTGCCGGAATAGAGTCCGGCGTACTCGACTCAAAATAAATTGGTATTCGAATAAGCGAGTCTAAAGCAGGAATCGAGTCTGACTCGAGTCAAGCCCTACTCGGCACATCGCTAGAAATAGGTATGTTTATTAGCAGTTTGATTACCATAGCACAGGTTCTGCCTGGTTTGGGATCAGTCGGCCGTGTGTGAGGTGTGTGAGGTTATTATTAGTACCTAGGTAATTATAGAGAAAGCAACGATCTAAATTGATCTACTTTGGGGAAACCCATCGAGATTCCGTTGGATTAGCATCGCTGTAGGTTGGAACTAAGTAAGTGGATATTATGAATCATTACTTCAGGAATTCACGCGATTAAGTGATAGGTATTACATATCTGTGATTATGTCCCATGTTCAGATTGCATTGGCCGTGGTCATAGGCGCCCTGGCTCAGCGTACATGATCTCTGTCCTCAAGAAAGAAGGTTATGCATCCAAACGCACGTTTTTTAACCTTTTCACCGTGTATTACATACTGTACTAACACTATTAATACAATATGTGTGTATGTAATGTAATGTAAATATGTTACGTCAGGCAATGTAAAGGTATGTAATACGTACCTCAATTAATTGCGTTAGTTCCCGAAGCAATGATTATTTATCGGAGAACGCGAAAGTCTTAAAGTTACCTAGTAAGTAGGGATATCGATTAATTATTTGTAATACATAATTATTTATGTAATACAGATTAATAAACTGAAACGTGGGCTCTTAATGTAGTCTTCGCGCTGTATTCCGCTCAACGAGCTACGAGAGAAATGAGGAGATACGAGAACAAACAGAGATTACCCAAAAAGCCAGAGAGATCAGCAAGTTAAAGTACCAGTGGGTGGAGTATTAGATTTCCAATAGGACTGAAAGGTTTTTGAGTGAATAGCTTTAGACGTCCATCAGTAACTTAGAAGATTTTATGAAGATTGCAGTTCCACGGTGAATGTAGGCTGGTCCTAACCAGTCTTCTTAGAAGCCTTTTAGAGACTTTTAATATCTTTGTGGTTCTGTCTGAGCATCTGTAGAATGTATTATACAGTAATCTGATGAATTATCTTACAAACAATAAATGTATTTGTATTATATTATTTGCTGTTCTATGCATTTTAAGCATCACCATGACTGCTGCTAAGCTTTTAAGAATGTAGTGTGGTATTAAATAGCCCTTGCCAAGAATTCGGCCAACGAATGCATAAAGATAAAAAAATACACAGTGTGGAACTTTGAATCTCCTCTGTTTTTGAAGTCGGTTAAAAATAATTATCATGTTAAACCAAAAAAAAAAAACGCTTTAACTTCAACTAGGGATTGACTTTAAATTTAACTATTATATTGGTCTAAGTCGATTAATATTGAACAAGGGTTTGCCTGCAGCCCGGAGCGTCCGAACTAAACTCCGACAACACATGTAGCCAACAGATGTTGGGCGCGTAAACAAATGCGCTGTTATTGCTATTATTGCGCGATTCGTCACGTGCACACACTACACGCTAGCATACACCAAGCCGAATTACTTTAAACGCTTCTCATTGCTTACTAGCGTTTTCCCGCTGTTTCTCTCGCCTTAGGTCCCGTCCGCACAGCGATATTTCACCGTGCGTTTATTTTCTTTGCAAAATTCTCGCGTTCATTTTGTATCAAATCTCAGATTTTATCTAAATCTCAAAATTCTGTGACACATGAGATCTATATAGGACTATCCGCTGGCGGCAAAAAAAACTAAATAATAATCTGTGATCGCTGTGCAGACGGGCCCTTAACGTTTTTTTTAAGCAGAATGTAGATTTTAGTGTTCAAAATAAAAAAGAAGCCTGTATTTCCATTGAGATCAATTTTCTGCAGTAGCCGTCTAGGTATCACATTAAAAATAAGTCAGCCTTTGAAAGGTGTTTATGCTGGGTATTTTTTTTTATTGGTATTTAAATATTTTAACATTCAGGAAGTCCCACAAACATTTTAAAATACTCATTTTAATACTTATTTTTTGGGTTTATGTGGTCACCAAGCCGTGAGTCGTGTACTTACCTAGATACTAGGTATTGATGCTTAAATATATCTTTCAATGTTGGTATTAGACTTTATTGAACAGGGACTTACTGTTGGCAAAATTATACGTTTTATGTGCAAACCGAGTACCTAACAGGTTTTTAAATTTGTCAGCTGATCGATTGAACAATTAAAGCGTGAAAGCGCAACGGACAAAAAATGATTGGTCATATCGCTAACTGTGGGTTAAAAATGACAATTCACCCATAGCCGTCCATTACTCCTTGGACATTGACCTACTCGGGGCTAGAAATAGAAAATTAAGGGGTAGCTACAATGTATATAGGCGTCGTGTGTCAGATTTCCGAAAATATTATTATTGATAGTTAGCCTAAAGATTCATAATAGTGAAATTTTCCCCTGGTTACATTGTAATACAAATACCTGACGGTAAATAGTGGTGATGTGTTCACACAATGCAATAAGTACAGAACGTGGGATAAGTACCAGTAGATACAAAGATTTTGAAAACAGATTTTTTTTCCTTCAGCGTAGTTTCTTTGTTATTAGTTTGACTTATGGTCGGAGTGGCCAGTTGTATTAATAAATTGTTTAATAGAAACTATTGGCAAGTAATATATAAATAAGATGGTGTTTACAAATCGTGAGTTTTATAGCATTCCAAGTTTCACCATGGATTTGCATCGTTTTATTGCGTACACAATAAACCAGAATACGTGTAAATGTTGCAGTCACAACTTTTAATCGACAAAATCAAATAATCAAATCGACAAAGTACTTTTGACCGCAACATCATATTGTTATAACCTCATATGTTAATGTTAATTGCTTTCTATCAATCAGGCCGTTAATTCTTTTCACGGCTTAACCTATCCATACAAGTGTATTTCCTTTCATTTTTTCCTACTTCTACTGCGCTGAGTGTTGTGGGTTCGATACCCAGATGGGACAACACTGGATGATCCATAAATTGTTGTGCCATATATATATATACATATATACATACATATATACATACATACTCCTCAGCGTGTTTCGTTACGTTAAAGGTAGTCTGTCAGACTACCTCGGTGGTGTTGTGGTAGCGCATGCGACGTACTGAGGTCTCGGGTTCGAGTCCCGGATCGGACCAAATGTTTGTATGATCTGCAGATATTTGTTTCGGAGTTTGCGTGTTTTCTATATATTATATGAACGCATTTACGAAAAAAAGTGTAAATAATATTTATCAGTCAATCTAGCTTTCATAGTAGGTATAAGCTTTCATAGTAGGTATAAGCTCTGCTTAGTTTGAAACTAGATGACTTTGTGTGTCAGATGTCCGAAAAATGTTATTATTTGAAGGTAAACTAAAAGTACTTAGGTATGTATCTATCAAATAGTGTATTGTGTCACATTTACTGATAAGATCTTATTACATCCACCCATAACTGATAGATGAGTATCATATTTATTACACAGTGGGCGTTTCATTCACTCTATAGCAAGTATGTACAGAAACGTTCGCTCGTGAGAGCGGTAATAAAAGCAATTAGGCAAAACGACTTAACTGCCCCGTGTTTCCTTTGCCTAAGATAATGTTTACAATCAGACACAAAAAAAAAACAAGTTTACTGTTTTTTTTTATTGTCCTCAGTAATAAATAAGGTGTAGGTTTTATGCCAAGTATTTGATGGCAACATAGATAAAAACACGTTTTTTGTTGGCTTGATTGTTTTACCTTCGAATCGAATAGTAATTAATAAAGGCTTAGATTATTAATCAAGGTTTACGTCTAGGCTATTTGTTTGTTTATTGGTTAACTAGGTTTAGTCCGCTTTTGTGATTTTAAACAATTCACCATTTAATTTTGTTCACATTTTGGTTTAAATAGTAGGTGAGCCTACTTAGTACTAGCCTTTCCTATATGGGCTATCTAATGGTAAATTTGCTTAAAATTACTTTTATGTTTAATTTTAATTAATAATGTTAATACATACCTATTTATGTAAATTTTAATTACTTAGGTATCAACAAAAATTTTGTGTTTAAATGACAAAGAACCTCCTAGGGAAATAAAACCTACCTACTTATAATTATCTAGGTACAATTGGTAGGTGCTTAGTGCATAAGAAGGTACGTTCTAAAAGGTTAATTAAGAACTGTTGTTTAAGTATTTACCTACCTATTGTAGCTTAAAAAATACGTCTCCTTTGCAAAACACACCAAGCCTCAAACAGGCCGGAGTGTAAAATATCCGAGAGGGAAAGTCATTTAAGAAGTTGAAACAACTTTAGGTGGGCGGGCGATTTAATAAAAAAACAAAGTGGATTTTAGTCGTTGCATAGCCATGGATGTTCGAGGAAGTGATGACCTATCGCACACTTTATCGTCAGACTCGTCGAGCACTCGGCGTCGTCCGCCACAGGTAGTGAATGTGTGGCGGCGAGTGAGTGGGTCAGTGCTGTGTCGCCGACTGTAATTATTCTAATTCAATTTGTGCGGACGTATGCGCACAGCCCGCACCCGACCGCTTTGTTTACATTCCATCGTGCCGCAGCCGACAGCCTGCCACTCCGTACCGCCTCGATTAAGGGCAAATCAATAAGGCAGCCGATAGCGAGCGAGTTTAATAGAGTGAGCGAGTCGAGTCGAGCGCCCTCATTACCCCCGCAATTAGCGCACGCCGCGCTCCCGCCGACGACGACGCACCCCGCGCGAAAAACGAATAAAAAGAGCTGCCCTCAAAATGGCCGCCGCCTCCCCCGCCTCTCCGCACCGACCGCCCGTCGACCCCCGCGCCGCTTCGTGATTGCATCCCCGCAGCTCTTATAAATATGGCCGTATTCCTCCCGCCTTTACTGATTGCCCGTATACCCCCCGGCTTCCCCCCGCGACCGCGCCGCCGGCGTCTGAATAGATAAACGAGTCCACGTGGACTGTCGCTCTTATAAAAATCTACTCGGCCAATGGCGAACGAAGCTCACGACTCTTAAGCCAACCGCGGCGGCGGAACGCGTGTAACCCCGCCCTTAATAAGCGATGCGAGCGTTAGAGCCAATGAGATCGAGGGATTCGGCTCGTCGTGCTCACCGTCGACGAAGCGGTCCACGTGGACTACGCACACATAGACGCGCGTATAATGCCTCGAGTGGAAATAGCTATGACGGCGAAATGTGCGACAGCGAAAAAATAAAATGCGGTCGGTCGGTGCGGCGGCGGAGCGAGCGAGCGAGTGGGTGTAAACAGGGGATATTTCGGTGCGGCTCGTTCATTATTATTGAATGCGCGGCGCTAATGGCGAGACTGTGCCCGCGCCCGCCGCTTCGCTGCAGCACGGCTTCCTGCTCCGACGTGTCCCACTAACGACAACTACCTTCATCGATAGAGATGACCAATGCGACTGACCGTGTATCTGTCACACTAATGGACCATACAAACAACCACTGTTTAGAGAAACTTTATCATTTGCTTTATTTTAAACCATGACATGTTAAGGCCATGTTATTTCAGATGGTGGTGGACTCCAAACACAAAGAAAATTATAGATGCATTACATACCTACTTACTTATTCTCACATTGTAATGACTTTACCTAACTAAAAATGTCTAATTTGTTCAGGTAGGAAGGCTACTGTTGATTTTGACTAGGTACCTACCTACATACTGTGTAATAAGTGAACATAGGCAACTACCAACATTTGTAGAGAAAATGTTATATTTGTAAGTAAACATTAAAGTGAGTTTAACGGTTTCTCAGGAACACACCGATATCTGATAAAAACTGATAAATTTGTTGAACATAAATCAATGTTCTTGGTGAATTTGGATAGTGTAAGCAGGTTTTATTTTTTTGTATTTGCTAGTTCGGGTTTTAGAAACTTTATTCTCATAAAGAATTACATATTCACTTACATGAGAACGCATTTTGAATGAGATACAGTCATTTGCCGAGCGGCGTGACACTAGTGCGAATTACAAACTAAGGTATACACAGTTGGCAATTAAAAGAGGGTAGGTTAACTGTACGGATAAATACACGGATTAAGCTTACCTGGATGTGACACGTGCTGAGTTAGTGAACGTAGTTTATCTACCTACACTGTTTTCATCTCATCTTTAGTATTTTTTTTAAATGTTTGCATGGTTTTGGCTTCTTTTATATTTTATGTAAATATTTTATATAATATATATAGTTAGTGGTATGTACCTACTTTGTAAACCTCTTGTACATTGCTACCTAATCTGTATAGATTAAGTATTTAGGTCGGTATATTTACTATTGTAAATTTTAATCCCGTTTCATACTAAACCACTTATTCATCATCATCTGCCTACCCTTTTCCCAATTTTATTTGGGGTCGGCGCAGTGTGTATGATTTTTCCATTCTACTCTGTCATGCGTCATCTCACTGTTTACTCCCTTCCTAGCCATATCCTCCCTCACGCAGTCCATCCATCTTTTCTTCGGTCTGCCTCTTCTCTTGTACCCTTCGACTCCCATACCTAAAACTTTCTTCGCCACATTTTCCTCATCCCTCCGCATGACATGTCCATACCAAGATAACCTATTACTTCTTAACTTTTCATCCAGTGGCGCTACTTTCAGACTCCCTCGTATATACTCATTCCTAACCTTGTCCATCTGAGTCACACCACACATCCATCTCAGCATTCGCATTTCGGCTACGTTCAGGCGTCTCTCATCCGTTTTCTTAACGGGCCAACTTTCAGAACCATACAGGACGGCAGGTCTGATAATAGTTTTATAAATTTGTCCCTTCAGTGTTAAGGGGAAATTGGGGTCACAAGTTGTTCCCGTTACCTGCCGCCACTTCATCCATCCCGTATTGATTCGATGCTGTACAGTTCGATCAATCTCACCATCACATTGTAAGAGAGAGCCGAGGTACTTGAAATTGGAGCAGACTGTTATCGCTATCCCATCCAGCGAAATGGTTTCAGGACTGGAGAGACCGCCGAAATCGCAGAACATGTACTCAGTTTTGGTTCTGCTGATTTTCAAGCCAACATTCTCCAGCCTTTGTTGCCATTTTTCCAGTCTGCTCTGGACCTCAACCCCATCCTCACCGACCAACACAATGTCATCTGCAAATAGCACTTATTCATAGTTGTAAAATGAAAAAAAAGTTAAAACTATCAATCGATCTAACTTTGGATGTTTACATTTTAAGAGTAGGCACATAAATACAAATAGCATCCATCCTGCTTTACAGGTTCGATTGCCGATCAATGTAATTTCTCATTTGGTTGTGAAAAAGGAATAGGATAGAATGAGCAATGAAAAGGACTGTACTCACGTACTTTGTCATTTTTTCAATCCTTGTGTAATAAAATAAATTACAAACTGATAAATTTAATATCTATCACATTTTAAAAGTAATAAAAATGTATACAACACCGATTTTTTTCTATTAAATTATTAAAATTATTAATGCATATGGGTAAATAGACGGTCGCACAAAGCTGTACGCACATACCTATAATCATTGTGCATCAAATAAAAAAAAGTGCGTCTATTCGATATTGAACAAAAAAGATCGTTTATAAGTGAGTTGAAGTGACACAAGTCTCACAACACAACACAATAAGCCGGCTGTAGGTTGCGGACACACCGCGACCTCCATCCGATAAGGCGAGCTTGTCCGGTAGCCGGGAGCAAAGCCAAACAAGCGAGAGGTAAAAATAACCACTTACATATACACATACGTAGATACCTATTAACATACGCTGCACTTAGGGTAAATTATACTAATAATGGTATTTTATGTGTTAGGTAGGTATACCTAGTACCATACTAGGTAGGTACTTACTTACTAAGTGAATACATAGTTGCAAATATATTGGCATTTCGTAATGGTATGTCTGACGTTTTCATTTGTAAGTAATTTAGAAGATTTTATTACACTAGGTTAATATTGTGAAGTAGGTACTACCTACTAGTAATAACTAAAACTTACTTGACTGTAAAAAGGCTTGACTTGGCTTGTTTTCCCTTATCACTTGATACCTACTGGTTTTTATACAGTATTATTTCTTAATCAATGATTTTGTAATACACAGACAATTTTTAACTTATTTTACAGTTAAGGTAAGCTACACTGATATATTTGGTATTCAAAACTCATTTAAAGAAATATGAATAAATGTAGGTAAATACGAATTTAATATGTGTAATAAGTAGGGTTGCCACCTTTTTTTACAAGAAATAAAGTATATTCAGGTCTATGAAGAATATTAAACAGTATTTTAGAAAAATGAACAGTATTTTATTTATTTATTGTTTTAAATACATATTTTTTAGAACGTTTCGCACAACTTACTAATTTACAATCTTTTTTAAAAACTTCATACGCCTCATCACAATCATAACTGAAATTAAAATAAATGAGGAGCTCATTTTTTATTAAATTAATAGATGCTCTATTTCTATCCTCCCGCCACTTAGCATTCATTACTGAAAAAAACTCTTTCAGTAAATGCTGAGGTGGCGGGAACAGAAAGTAGATATGAGACAATTTTAGTTATGTTTTTAAATTCTTCTGAAGTGTTTACTAATAAATGGCTTCACTTTTGGTCAGTACTCATTTCAAGAAAATCTTTGTCTTCTGATATTTTGTCATAAATTACTTTGAAATTTGTTAATTCTGAATATAAATCACCCATACCAATATTGAGTCTATACAAATTTAGATTATGTATAATTTTCTCAAAATGATAAAATGTGACAGAAGACTTCAATGACAAACAGCTAATTAAAGAAAGCCAGTTAGTCTGACTGAAATCGAACCATTTCTCTAAATACAAATTAGCCTTATCAATAAAAAGTATGAAGTTATTAATAGTTCTATTATAAACTTCTTGGGCAGACTCTGTAATAGTATTTAATACTTTTTTTGTTTCACGGCCAAAATACTTATCATTTTTCCTTTGAACTAGCTCAGTCTTTAAACCAGTCATAATGTTATAAACATCTAAGATAGTTACATTATTTCCTTCTAATTTTTTAAAGTGATTTGTTTGTGGCTGGGCTACACTGAGCAGTGAGTGCCCTCTGACTAAATAAAAACAAATTTGTGCGAGCGTCTAATAACACATAATGTGTTAGCATTTTTATACTCAAAACAGTATTTTGTATATTTTATTTTTGTTCAACAGTAAAAAGTATAATTTAGTGAAAAACAGTATTATACTGTTTAAAACAGTGTGGTTGGCAACCCTAGTAATAAGTAACTTATATGTTAAATAAAAGATATTTCTAAAATACTTATATTATTGGCATCAGCACATCATCCTCTTCATCTATAAAGTCAATTGAAATTGAAATGAGATTTTAGTACACTTTTAACGAAATTAGAGAGAACAGAGTAGATTGAGCTATTTAATAGCCTGCAAAATTCTAAGTTTTATAAAAATACTTAGGTAAGTTACTATTCTGCTGTTTTTAATATAAATATATTCTAAGGGATTTTAAATCACATCATTACATCGACAGCCTTTTAAATAGTTATCTTATATTTTAAGTATAAGTGGGTATGAATTACTGGTTTTAGATGTAATATTAAGCTTAAAAATAGGTGAAGTGGTAAAAGTCACGAAAAGTGCGCGATCAACTGTGCGAGGCGGTGCAAACGTGATAACCAGAAAGGCCAATTCTCGTAGTAGGTAAAAGTTTGGTCTTAATTCTGATGGCGTTGTGTGTAAGATGTCTGCAATATTATAACTAGCAGATTACCGATTCAATTTTTGGTTACAATACGATATAATCACATAACAGTCAATGTTTAATACTTTACTACGAAAATACTACGAAAATGATCGGAACTGAATTGAGACAATTTTTATTACGAGAATTAGCCTTCAGCACGATGTTGAAGACAAACCACCGCACTACTGCATGAGCTCCTTGTAGTAAGATGGGTAAAAAAACCGACTAAGTATCTTCAGTAGTTTAATTCAAATTTAAAACTAATAAGTCCTTGCTTTCCATCCTTTTTAAAAGAAAACTCCCGCACTAGGAATACCTATATCCTGTATCGCGCGGGGCTTCACAAATATCCACCGAACGGGCACAAAGAATACCCAGGCTCAGAGCAACCATTTATGGATCACACAAAGTGTTGTTCCATATGAGGATCGAACCCACAAAACTCAATGCTGTAGAAAGTGGCGAGGTGATGGCTTAAACCACTACGCCATCCGTGCAGTCAGTGCATTATCAGTCATTTATTTTTTAGAAGCTTTTATTAATTGTATAACGTTTTTGGTGGTGAATACGGAACCCTAATATTGAGTTATTTGTATGGCATTGTGCTATGTGAGGGTTTAAAAAGGGTAAAAACCTA